TGTGGCCCGGGGAAGAGAAGGAGCCAAAGGCCCCGCCACCCCAGCCCACGCTGAAGGGGAGCCCTGGCTCCAGCAAAGGCTGGAATCGATCAGCCTGCGGCGCGTGAGGCCACACAAGGTAGCAATGGTCCAAGACAGCTCTGAGCACGGTGGGTGCTAGGCAGGCAGCATGGGACAAGGCTGAGGAAAAACCCAGGACGAGGTTAGCAGTTCTGGCCGTGTGGTTCCGCTGTAAGCTAAGCATCTCACAGGGCTGTGACTTGGCCTGGCTCCCCTGAGAGCCCCAGGGAGAGGCGGGCGGCAAGCCCAGCCCTCCTGACTCATGGTCCCGCTCCACAGCGCCTGCCTCGAGCTGGCCCCTCTTTCCAGGAATGTGAAAGGAGGAGGAAAAACCAAACAAACAACCCCTTTCCTATGGCACCGGGTGTGAGTGGCTTTGCAAAGCCACAGTGAAAATAAGCTTTTCCACCTCGGGCTGTGTCGCAGCATGAGGAAAGCCTGTGCCTCGGGTGCAGCGCCAGCTCGACTCTGGCCAAGCCATGGCCATGCCCAGCCGTGCCACTGTGGGGAGGGGACTGCCCCCAACACCCACACCTAGCTGGCTTAGTAGTGACTGGTGTGCTGGGGATGGGTCAGTGGGTGTCCTGGTACAGCCTGTGAGACAGCCATCTGCCTTGCCTCGTACAGCTGAACGCTGCAATTCGCCATTGCTACAAGGGCCCAGTGGCTATTTTTTTCATCACTGTATGGCACTGGGAACAGCTGGAAGGACTTTGCTACTGACCCTTATAAGTGCCAGGAAAGCATCGCGCTGCCTGGCCCATCTGCGAGACTGCAGATATTTGCTGTGGTGCAGCATGTGAGGTACGGCCCAGCGTGTGCCCCATGGTGCCTCACCTCCTCCCTCCCTTGGTGTGTCTGGCTTGCTTCTTGGCAGTGATGCTCACAGGGCTATGGGACGGTGTGTGCTTTTCTTCAGATCCTCTCCCCCAAGTGCAGATTTGGGAACAAAGCCTCATTGTGCCATGGCCAAACATGTAATGTGTGTGTTTGAACTGTTATGCTGTGCCAGCAGGCACCTCCAGCATGTTCAGGTTTTACAAGTAGTTGGACACAGCAAGCATCTGCCCACCGACAGGTATGAACAGTCTTTTGGCTGCACAACAGGTGCCAGCCCAGTCACGGCACCATAGCCCCGCTCCTTGTAGTTAAAGAAACAAAACCCACCCAACTCCCCAGTGCAGCTGTCCTTGGGAGAGTTGCCAGTCTGCTAATGGATGGAGGTACTTGTGAGGGCACAGAGAAAGCAGGACCATGGCTTTGGGGCCATGAAGTGCCTTGCTCAACTCTTATGAATAGAAACCCTTTATTTCCATGTCGCTGGGCATGTCACCTCTACTAACGCACAGCTTTGGCAATGCCCTTCAACTCCTTGGAGAACAGCTGGCTTGATGAGGGTTTGGAGCAGATTTAAAAATACCTTTGTCAGAGCAGAGCCCGTTGCATCTGTTCAGAGCTTTGTGCAAACATGCAGTCAGGGTTTGCTTTTCAGCAGGCGGCACACCCAGGCACAGCCCTGCCCCAGCGACTAGCAGGGAGCAAACAAACCCATCATTTGCTTGGGCAGATGGTCAGATGCCCGAGGGCTCTGTGTGCATAGGGCAAGCAGGAGCCTGCAGGGAGCAGGTCTCACAAACCCCCACGGGGGAAGTGGAGAATGGCACCTCCTCCCCGTTTTAAAGCTGGGTGTGGGGGAAAAATGATACTCACAGATGGACTCGCCTTGTGCCCCAAGGAGTGTCAAGGGCAGAGCCACAATTAGCTCATGGGATAGAGCAGGTTCTCGCTGTGGGCTGACAGCAGTGGCTCATGCTTCCTGTCAGAGGCTCAAAGGAAAGTGACACTGGGGACAGGCCGACTGGCAGGCAAGACAGCAGCATGTCCCAGGGGATGGCAGGCATTGCGAAGCGAGGAAAGACATATGTTCATTCCAACAAAAGACCCAGCTCTCCTGCTAATAAATACCACTTCTAGCCATGCAGCAAAGTTCCTCTGCTTCTACTGGGTTTTGTTTTCTCTAGCTAAATCTGTCTTGCCCCACAATGGGAATGAAAGACTAACTGCAGGTGAATGTACCGGCATTCATACTATCTTGCATGTATCTTTCAGGTATTTCTGAAATATTGGGGGGGGACGACGGGGGATGGGACGGGACACGGACGGACGGACAGACGGACATATGTCTATGCTGGGATTTTTATGACACATCCCTAGGGCCTGGCTCTTGCTAAAGTTATTATTCAAATGCTTCATGGTCTCCCCAGGCTTCTTCAACCCTGTATTTCTCCTTCAGGTTAGAAATTTTAGAAATTTAGCTGCCCTGGGGGAAAATTTACTGGCAAAGCAGTAAGGTGATCTCACCAGAGCCACAGTATAGTTGAGCAATGAAAGTGAAGGAGGAGAAGAAAACCACCGGCAAACTGCAAAGGCTTTGTTGTTGTTAATACACCTCCCTAGTGCCAGCGGTTAACACGTTGCAGATGTTCCATCGATGTTAAAGCTGGAACAGACCCCATCCCTTCCACAGCAGTGAGAAGGCACAGCGGCCCTGCAGCTTCAGGACGGCACCCATGCTGAGGCAGAGCCTGGCTCCTCAGGAAAGCCAAGTGGAAAATTTCAGGTACAAACAGATGATAAATGTCACACTGCAAAATACCCCAGGGAAAAAACTGTGCTCAGCGCTTTCCTCTGCATGCCTGTTCCTAGCCCAGACACGGTTAAGCCTGTGCTGTTGCCAATCAACACCCTTTACCTGCATGACAGTCACCCCATCCCCATCTCCCCCCCCCTTCCTATTTATGAGTTTTTGAGCTGTCTCAAGTGTTCTGGCACTTACAACGAGCATCAGCACACCCGCGGGAGCAGGATTCTCTAGGCGCTTGTTGAAATATTCGTGGCAAAACACATCCTTGCTGCGGTTAGACCTACAGACACCGGCCCCGGGCGGTCCCTCGCCCCGGAGCGCCTGGCCCAGCCCGTTTCGCTGCCAATAGCCCCCCCGCACGGCTACGCCGCAGCCCTGCACCCTCAATTCCTGCCGCTGGGGAGCGGGAGCCGGCTTTGCCGCAGCTAGGGCTAAATAGGCCCGCTTTAGAGCTAGGGAGCCACACAGGAGCCGTCTCGGCCTCGTTAAGCCGGGCACAGAACCATCGCAGCAGGTCTTACACACACAACCCCTCCGAAAGTTTTTTGGGGCTGACCTCCACCCGCTCGCCGCGGGGCTTGGGCTCTGCCAGCCACCAGCACCGCACGCCACTGCCGCACGTCAGCGCCCTGAGTTTGAAGAGACCGTTTTGGCCTGTCACGAAAGGAACGGGCCCTTTCTGGGCTCTACTCGTATCCAGCGCGTCATCAGGAGGAGGTGGGTTCCAGCGGAAGCTGCCTTGTGCTCGCAGCCCCTTTCCCATCAGAGAGGGAACTAAACTGCGAAACACAGCGCGGCACATTCTGCCCAATACCTGAAAATGCTTCAGACTAGGTATCGCCTGTGTATACGTGTTGTGGTTTAACCCCAGCCGGCAACTAAACACCACACAGCTGCTCGCTCACTAAGCTCCTCCTGTGGGAAGAGAAAAAAAAAGTGAAACTCGTGGGTTGAGATAAAGAGTTTAATAGGCCAGAAAAGGAAACAACTTGCTACTACTACTACCAGAATATACAAAACAAGTGCTCCAAGCTACTGTTGCTCACCACTCACTGCCCCTATGCCCAGCCAATCCCTGAGAACAGTACACAGCACTACACCAGCTACTAGGAAGAAAATTAACTTTATTCCAGCCAAAACCAGGACAATATATACGCAGCACACAAAACTGGCATATGAGCAGATAGCTATGTAGGTCTGGGCAAACAGCAGGATCCCAAGGAAGATCAGCAAGTGTTTGACAACAGTTCTCTGCCGTTACCTTTCTGTGCAGAATGGGGTTCAGCTCTGTGTACGTGGCTCCATGGCCACCTTCATTAATGATGTGTAATCCAGATTTATTAGAAATCGTCACGCACCATCTGCCGCCTTTTCTTGTCTAGTCTCCAAGTAATATGTCACTTACTGGATCTAACAAATTAAAGCCAAACAGATATTTGAAGCTTCACAGGCAGAATGGCTGAAACAAAAATATCTATTTAGAGGACTGCAAGGCCTTTCAGAGCAGCCCTGCATTAGCCATGCATTAGCCGCTGCCAGCCCGGCTGGCTGTGTCCCACTGCTGCTCACTGTGTGTCTACAGTGACATTTCCCTCCAGGAGTGCTTCTGAAATGCATCTCCCGTCTGTCCCCACTTACTGTGTGTAGCTCTGTGACACGGGCTGGCCTGGGAGCGTGTTGAGTGGATTCCCTTCGGATGAAGTTAAAGAGGAAATCGCACCGTAGGCCTAGCCCGAACACGCTCCGCTGGCTAACGGGCCAGCGTCTTTGTGCCCGGGCTAGAGCTGGGTGGATGGCTCCGGCCTTCAGCATCGTCTGCAACATCACTCCCCCTCATCCACATCGCTGGCCGGCGTAGCTCTATCCCTGGTCACCACCACGATCGCCCCTCTGCCACGACTTCGAATCGAGACCGTCTGTGTGCCCGTGGGGGCCGGCCAGGGCAGCAGGGCGGGGGGCGCACCAGGGACCTGTTTTACTGCTGGACGGTCAAAGCTTCACCCACCTTCCAACCAAGAAACAGGCTGTGGAGGTGGCCGCTCACACAGTGCCCCCGAGGAGGTCTCACTCTCCCGAGGAAGAGGGAATTAACGCTCCTTAGTGCTGGCGGGGCCAAGGAGGGCTGGCGGGAGCTCTTCAGGCAGGGCAGAGGGAGGCGGTGTGGGTCAGCAAACTGCCGGCACTGTGGGAGCAAGGGCAGCACTGGGCGGGGAAAGGTGTGAGGGTTTCAGGGCACTCTGGAATGTTTCTAATAACCCAAAGCACTTAAAAATACCCTTCAGTACTTACTGTCAGATTAATTTATTAGCAGAAAACAAGTTTTGCTGTAAGGCAGACAATTAACAGGGAATTTCTGTAATTCTCAACCAAGACGTCAAATTATTGTGATAGTTAATACCTGCAGTTAAAATGACTGCTCTGAAATGAAGGGAAGAGACTCAAAACACATATGGACATTTCATACAATATATAAAATATATAGCTTTTACATTTCTTAATTTTAAATACATTGTAGTTTTTACATAAGAAACAAACATTCTAGAGTTCATTTGCAAAATAAGCACTGCAGGAGATGTCCAGCCTTCCGTGGCTCCCCCTGGTAAGCAGATGACATGCACAGCAGCACCTACAGAGTCCGTGGGTTGGGAGAGAAACCCTGTGCACATTGTTCCTGTTGGCTGGGATGAAGACCCTACTTTGTAATCCCAGTAAGAATTAAAGAAGTAGGGTTATACTGATAATCAGAGCCTACAGAAATTTGTGAGCTTCTGGAGGAATCTGTAGAAATACGGCAAGACAGAAATAAAGCCAGACTTCCAAGCCTTCAGCCTTACAAGCAACTCCAAGTTTCAAGGAGAGTTTTGTAGAAAAATCCTCTTTTTAAAAAACGATAAAAAGTAAATGTAGAAACTTAACTCCTCATGAAGTCCAGGTTATCAGCAGCATTCACTGCAGTGTAGTTATTTAATGCATGTAATATTTGACTTGTATCTTGATTTACTTTTCCATGTACCTATGTTGTTTCAGGGACTTTTCAGTTTCAGCTGTTCCTATAAAGACACAGACTTCTTTACTGATTTTGATATCAGCTGATTGAGCAGTATAAAACTTGAAGGGGCCTTAAACCTCCCCATTTTTTTCTCTGCTTCTACCTCAAGGAGAAGAGCACTGCTCATGGATTATAGAAACAAGAAGGTTTCATTGGGTGGAGTGGGACAGACTTTTTACTCTAATCTGAACAGTGTTCTTCTGATTTGTAGAAGTAGCCAAACAGTAACTATTCTAATGCAAGACGCTTACACCAAGGGGGGAGAAATATGACAAAGTAAAATACTTATGATTAAAACCAGATTATAATCTTGTTTATGAAACACCACACTTCAACTCCATACAGAAGTTACAAACAATAAAATTATATAACACTTGATGAGAGGAAAAAAACTGTCTTTCTGAGGTTTGTACAGCATCCAGAACAATAACTTAAATGAGTGTAGAGCTCTGGCAGCTGGATCTGCTGGTCCTAAATTCAGAACCTGGTTTCCTCCACACTAGATTACAAAACCTGTAGTGCAGTTCAGCAATTTCTTCATGAGCTACTGTGAAAAACCACTTTTTGTGGTGTGATGAAAAAATGGATTTCACCATCCTTCCTTTAGTTGAGAAACAGTGTCAGATTGTTCTCCTTCATTCACTACCTGGCTCTGAGAAGCGAAGCTGTATGCACCCTGCTTAGGGGGACAGCAGTGGTGCAGGTCGGCCGATCAGCCGATGGGATTTCCGCTGCTAACTCTGCAGGCACAGCACCCAGCCAGCAGCCCTGGAGTAGCCTTCAACCTAACGAGGCTCAGAGAAACAGCAGCTTCTCCAGCTCCAGTAAGAGTGAATTCTCAGGGCAGTAAGAGGACATAAGCATTCCCCAGTTCTAAAGTCCAGGTACTCGAGAACAAAGTTATACTACGAGCCACAGGGAATCATAACTCCTCACTGCAGCACCGAGCATTGAGATGTGTATCTTAAGTTACAGGACCAGTAGCCAAACTGGGTGAGAACAGACTCCATGTAATTAATGCCATGTTAAGGGTGCTTTGGACACTATCCAATCACAGTTTCTCTATCTAGTTCCAACCTTTTCCAAAGCCTAAAAGAAACAAAGAGGACCTCAGCAGCATCTTAAGGCACGATTCCCTTTCCAAGGACTTTAAGGAGGGCAGCAAAGACAAGATGCATGAAAGAACTGGGAAAAGGCCATTGATACATGGCAAAAAGCCAGCAGCAGCAGAAAAAAAGCTTTAAGGTGTTTGCACTTGAGAGCTCAGCAGAGGAGTGAACAGAAAGTCTCAGAACATCTGCTAAAACAAACAGCTAGAGGTCGTATTCAAAGCAGCAAACAGATGGCTGTAAGGACAGTGACCTCTCACAAGATGCTGGGTACAACTCTCAGTTCTGGTTATCCGGTACCTACCCAGCACCCCTCAAAACTAGCACAACATTAGACTGCAGTTTCACCGGCTGTTTGAATGTCACCCCTGCTCCACGTGCAGCCACCCAAGAGACCGGGACCTGAACAGATTCAGGCTATTCCACTGCTACAAATCATCCTATCTAAGAAACAACAGCACTTCATTAGCTTCTGTAGTTCTAGCAGCTTGTTAGTGAAGATTCATAAAACCTAAACACTAGCCATCTTCACATTATATGTAGGGGCCAGCAAGCTGTATACAACTAAGTTCTTTTAGGTCTGCATCCAGAAGCTGAGAAAAAGCAAAGCTAATCCTTGTCTCCATTAATGCAGATGGGCTGCCCTTGAGGAAGCACAGAGAGCATCAGTGGGAGTATCACAAAACAAAAGAGCTCTGCTGCTATGGTAGTTGGAAGAGGTTATGTCTGAGAGACAAGCTTGATCTCCAGATCACTTACCTAGCAACGATTGCCATCCCAATGGCTTTGTCTCCTTTACACAAGCAGACTGAAAAGCAAAAGCCACTTTCAGGAACAGGAATAATTGCTAGTGATTATTTATCTACCATTTCCTTGATGATTGTGCTTGAAGAACTAGGGCTTATTTCTGCATTTCATTTGCCCAGAACTTACATTTCCTCAATCCGTACAACAAGCAAAATAGATACCATTTTATTATTCCCACCAATAAACTTTCAGTATTTTTTTTAACATTTTTAACAATGATTAGCCACCAAGTTACTTTCACAGAAAATACAAGCAGCATTTTTTCCCCAGGAACTTCTAAATTAAAAAGAGCTTCAGGTAATTCTGTAAAACATTTAAGACATCATAAATAAACTTATTCTAAAAATCACTTTCCAAACAATAAATAAAACTCTTCCTTATTTGAAAGTGCAAACAGGCTGCATTATAAAAAGTACAGAGCAAGCCTGAAGAAGTGCTTAATAATTCAATAGTGTCCAAGACACAGTTTCTTGTTTTGGTGCTGCTGGTCATCTAGTGATTTTGTTTTCTGGACCCCATCTAAAGAAAAAAAAGTATGTGTGAAACATTAATACAATAGTAATCATAGTCTAAACAGTCAACACATACAGATGCACTGGAATAACACTGGGGTGGGTGAGCTTGCCTTCTTTCCCATACAGAGGAACATGCAATAATCCTAGTAAAAGAAACATACTAAGGAAAAATAGCAACTTAAAACAGTTCACTGTTGAAAATGCAAGCAGACAATCTCAAAGAAAATATTATTATAAAAATGAGCCCCGTTAAAGGTTGTCAAAAAAAGTACCCCAGGATGAATATTTCTCCACCTTGGTCTAAAAACCATTAGCAAGGAAGAGGGACAAACATTTTGCAGTGATTACTAATGACATAAACACTATTCTGAGCCCTTCCCTCCCCCCTTTGTTCCTGGCTAATAAGGAAATAGCTAACAAAGAGACTCCTCCACTAATCTAGCTCACTACATGTTAGGAATTAGCTTGTAGTACATGGTTATTCATATACTACAAAAACCACTTCCAGTCTTTTTTATGCTCCTGGCATGGTGCTCAATGCTTTGAGTAACTCCCAACTCTCTGTCTCTATGCTCCATACCTTCACGCTTGAGGCACAAAAAAAATTTAGCTTCCTTTTCCACATTATTTTCCCCTCTAGATGAGAAACATTCTAAGGGCTGATAGCTGACAGTAGATGCCAATGGTGGGTACCTTTTGTAGCAGAAAAAGGCTTTAACATAAGATTCAACCAAACTCTGTTTTCAGAAGATGGCAGCTCCTTTGCTGCAGGGTGCAGGTCAATGAGGATTTTATGGTGTGTATATATACACACAAAAATAAATGTTGATTGAAAAGCATTGGCATAGATTCTGCTTCATAACAGAAACACTGAAATGTTCTGCAGAACATATTTAAATGACTTGGAGGAGTCCCATTTCTCTTGAAAAAGAACGGCACTTGTTATAGAACACAAGATAAAAAAAAGTTTTTATAGAACAAAATTTAAAACATGATAAAGCAGTCTGAAATGATCTATGTGCAACCCAGCCTACCGTTGACTATGATATAACAGTATTACTAGATTTTGTAACATGTGCACCAATGCCAAGCATTTGTTAAAACAAGCTTATGATTTTGACTTACCATTAGTTCATCTATTCAAAAAGCTCAGAACAGTTTTCATAGCAAGATTTAATTAATCAAAATCAAGATTAATTAAGACTAATCAATCCCAGAGCAATTCAAGGTTTGTTTAAGATGTGATCCTCCTTATTGATTGCAGACATAAAATGAATTAATGAAAAAATACTTACTTTCCCTGGCAGTGGTGTCATGGAATTCAAGGGCATTAGTATGCGATGGATTTAGTTGCCACTGGTAAAAGAAGAAAAAGTTTACTTATTCCAGAAGACAGAAGAAAGAGCAAAGGGAGAATGAAAAAGTACCCTACAATCCTTCACTCTAAGGCATGACTAGGGATGAGGTGGGAAATGAAGGGCTCCCTTTCCAACACACATTTCTTTGTGGATAAAAAGCTATTAAGCGATACATGGCCACTTACTCCCTTGAGAAGGGGAAGTGAGCCTGCTCAAACTGATACTGCTGCAGTTCGTCATGGTGAGCAACCTGAACGCAGGTGCTCTTGGCCACCTTCAAAACCCACCACAGCTCTTTTAGGTGCTGCTGGAAGGGCCTACAAAATCACACAGGGATCTCCCACACCAGCTGCTGCGCTGTGACAGGGAGGCTGGGAGAGAACTTCCGAGTGTGAAGAGACCACCTCAAACACAGCAAGGAGTTAAAGTGAAATCTGCAACAAAATTACAGAAAACAGACACACTTGGCCCCTCCTTCTGGCATATGGCACAGCACTTCTCCTCAGTGTTGTGACAAAGCAACCTCTCCACTCCACTCACTTGACTAAACAACACAGGAAAACCCTCCTCTATGCTGGCTGCAGATGACTGCTCACTCCACCCTCCCCTTCAAGGCTGCCCAGAGTTTTTCGAATATAGTATATTTAGACACTTACTGTAAATTTGTTTACACCCTCAAGTTCACCAAACTTCATATAGGATATATCTGCTTTCTTTTTTCCAGCATCAACATCTCCTGCATAGATCTGCTTGATACCAGCCCCTTTGATTAAAGGGACACATTCGTCACATGGACACTTTGTCACAAATATCATGCTTCTCTCATCTGGCTTTATTTCTCGACACCTACAAGGATTCAGAAAACAGAATTTCAGAGTTTATATCTTGATGATAGATTTGAATGGTGACAAACTTGATACCTCACAAGACCAAGAAAAGTGTTGTATTATGTACTCTGAGAAGCAACTTAGTCCTACTGAAGTGCACACATAAACAACATCTGATTTGGTTTTATTATCTGTGAACAAAACACCCATCCCACCTCTCCACACATATTGTTGTCGGAAGCCTCAACAATCACCATTGTTCTGTATTTCAGGTTATAGCACAGTCCTAGCAGTAAGCAGAGGCAGTGGCCTTTATCTGAAGGACAGCTGCCATGCACTAGAATGAATATCCTTTAAAAACCAAGTTCACTTAAGAAGTCCGACAAAACCTCAGGAGATGATTGTGTCCATGCACATCCAAGTTCTACATCACAGGTGTAAACAAAACTGTGACTGCAATCCACACTTCATCACAGTGACATGCATTTGTCATGCATTGTTTCTGAACTGTCTCATTCTTTTCTGTGGTAAAAATAAACCCATTACCTGAATGTCAAGGCATTCTGCTCTGCATGTATGATGTATCTGAACTTTCTGATTTCCCGATCTTTTTGTTTATCATCCATGTGTGGAAAATCAGCGTATTCAGATCCAACAGGAAAGGCATTGTAACCACAGCCAACAAAATACATTGCTCCTGTTCCATCACAGCTTCTCTGCAACGGTAAGCAAAGCATCAAAGTTGGAGACATTTAAACTGAGTACTAAGTCAAAGTGTTGTGCAATGTCAGTTCATACCAAGTTACAGCAGTTAAAAGAGAACTAATTTTTTGCTAATAGCTCCAGGCCTGTATGAAGCTTCTCCATTAAGCTCCATAGGAGCCGCACAGGGCAAACTGCAACACTGCAGAGGACACACTGCACCAGGCTTTAGGGGCTCTCCTTTTAGCAAGTAACACTGATATCAGGAGCAAAAAGTCTGACGGATTTAGTCCTAAGCCTTTCTGCCATTTACAAAATTAAAGACAGCTGTAGTGCCTGATGTGCCAGAGTCTGTTTCACCTATCTCAAGAGACCCAGTGACCAGTGGGCTGACTAAGTAGCAATCAGCAATTGAAATCAGGACAAGGAACAAAACAGCAATAAGCAGTTGATCACTGAAATGCTGAAAACAAATGAAGAGTATGTTGCAGCTGCATGAAGGCTGAGGCTTCCTGGGATTGGTAACATGCATAATCAGAGACATAAAGAAATAAAAACTTTATGCTTGGATGGGAAAAAACACAGTAGCAATATTTGTAGAAAAGGAATGTGCTAAAGCCAGTACAGCATTTCAACTGCAACAAAAATCCTCAGAGACTCTCAGGCTATGATTGCACTGAGACCTCTCCAAAAAACAGCTACAAAGAGGCACCGTGTAGAGTAGGCACACGCTGCCTGACTAGCAGCTGTGACAAAACTCTGTAGCCAGGACACCTGGAGTAACTGACAATGACCAGGGAATCAGGCCACTGAAAAGCTGGGCAGTGACACTGTGGCAGTTATTAAACTCATTGATACTTCCTCTTCATTTTGACAGCATAACAATGAACTGATCATTAACTTAATTACTAAAGAATGAGAAGTGCAAGCTTTCTATAGCGCGGAGTGTGTATGAAAAATGCATGTGCATAGACTTAAAACAAAATAACAAGCTCAAAACAGATACAAGTGTATGACTTGTGAGTGCAAGAAAAAGTAATTTTTCAATACTTACTGATTTTTCTTCTGCCCAAATAATAGCTCCAACTCCTGTTTTATGATCCTCTAAAATACAGAACATTTTTGCCATAAATAACAAATAAAGCACTTCTAAATTACCTATACATTAACATATGACATCCTAGAATAACGATTAACATTCATTGTTGCTTCATGGACAACTGGTGCTTCACGGAGAAAAGAAATGCAGAAGGATTAAGAGCTTCAAAGTCATATGAGTCTAGCGCAAAAGCTGGGCGTGCTTTAACTGCCAGGCCAGCCATTCTAAGACTTTGCTACATACATTTGTTCACAAATGTTAAAAAGCCACCAATACATATATTGGATAAGAAAATGTGTGCCAAGAATGTATGTAGACAGGTTCACTGATGTGAGATGGCAAACTGATAAAAACCTTGTTGTTTACTACTTAATTACTTAATTTCTGCCATCCCTTAAGTTTATGGTTCTGTGGTCTGAATTCCTATTAAAATTAGTTGCATTTTGTATGTAATTCAGAGACAAAATGTTAACAACTGGATTTTGGGGGGTGTTTCCTATCACCACCACAGGAAGACTGGAACAGAATTTTCATTATGTGACTAGAAAGATTTTTATGGAACTTGGAAATCTTCCCCAGTAGCTGTTGATGAGAGTCTTGACCAGTTAAAACAGAGCGTATCAAGGAGAAGAAAAGGTCTCAGGCTTCCAGTGATTAATAGCGTAGAAGATGTTTTAATTAACCATTTCCTTAGTGATTCCTTAGTATCACTACAATGTAGAATCACTCAGAGGGTCTTTCCTGCCAAAGACATGTTTTATGAGGGCTGATTTTACTTATATTCTGCATATTTGCTAGTCACTGATGTATATTAAGCCAATGTAGAAAGCATCCTATGATCTTTCTCCCCTGATATCCACCTATATAATAAAGTAAAGCATCTAAATATGTGTGTGTGCTGTTATTTATTTTAATTCCATGCCAGGACTAAACTGGAATAAGAGTTTACTCAAAAAACGGACCTGAGTCCAGGCTGAAGAGCACAGATAAAACTGAATTTTGATGCCCCTAGAATGAGTACTCAAGCTTGGTCACTCTATCTTGCTTGGTACAACAGTAGTTGTACAAAAACCTCACAACTGGTTCCATGAAACTTCTGAATTACTTCTAAAAATATAATCTTCTCTGCAACTTTGGGTAACCAAATTTGCGAAGGGTACATTAAAAAACTACAGAAACAAATAAACAAACAAACAAACAAAACCAAAAAAGGGAAAAGTTCTAAAATATGAAGATTCATCTTTACAAATAACAGTCTGAGTAAGTCAAAAGGCACATTCAGCACCTGACTCGGTAGGTTGGTTTTGTGTGTGCATATTGGGGGATTAGTTTTGTTTTAAGCTTTAACTATGTGCTGTTTAATTGTTTACAATGGTTTTAAAAAGCAATTTTCCTATCTAGATGAAAAAAAATATCACTAAGGAGTACCACCAAGTTTTAAGTCTTCGTGTTCTGTTCTCCAGAAGAACTTAGCAGTTTACTGTATTGCTATCCAGACAGAATAAAGTAGCTAACAGAAATCATCTGTATGAAAAGACAGTCAATAACTACCCTTCCACCCTGAAAGCCTGCATGTGAAAAGTCCAGCATCTTTGCAAAGAACCCCCTATCAGATATATAATCACTTCCACTAATAAGATTGGAAATAGGAAACTTAATACTGTACTTATTGCCCTCCTGGAAGGGTATTATTTCACTGCTCTTTTCTGAAGAAACATCTTGTGAAACATCTGTAAAAAAGAGCCTTGGAGCAGCCTGAAGAATTTAAATGTCATTGTATTCTATTTTCAGACAGGTGTTGGACATGTTGTCAAGCTGGGCTTTACTTGCCCTGTATGTGAAATACCTGCTCTGATTTTGTCTTGGAAACTTTCAGTATTTTCACACACAATACTATGTACCCCTGTGGAGTTTTTACTACTACTTTCACAGGTGTAGGAGCAGCGTTCAGCAGCTTGCTCAAGGAAGTATTTGAAAGAAGTAAGACTGAAATCAGGAACTCGCTCTATTCTTGAGACCCATTCCTCCTCCACTACTGTAACAACTCACCTGTCCGGTAAGCAAGTAGTCTGGCTTGTATCATACAGTGCCTTGCAATTTCTTGGGGCAAACCCTGATGGTCTGTTTCGTTTGTTAGTTGTGGTTCGCTGTTGTAAAATCCAAAACATCCAAAGACAGGGACGCTGGCAGCCACTGTTGCCAAGACCAAGACAAGATCTTTCATATTTTGCCTAAGGTTGCTGAAGTATGGATTTTCACAGAGGTTCTCCAGTCCTATTGTCATCAGTATCTGCTTGTGCATTTCCTCATTTGAAATTAGGAATAAACTTTCATACTCTTTTATTCTCTCTTGTCTACATGCAGTATAAAAGTCAGTATTTGAGTCAGGCTGAGATTTTGCTATTTTTTGAATAAAATCAAACTTGGTGGAAGTTTCTTCAACGAATTGCACCATATAGCACACCAAGGGCTGAAGCAACACACACACACGAGCACGACTATTTGACTTCAGTCTTTCTACTGCTTTGGCATCTAGCTTTGCATCATCAGTAGTGATGGGATTGGACGCCTCATTCTGCAAGCTGATTTCAGGATCTGCAGGCCAGTAAGAAATCCTGTTCACCCCAGCTGGAAGAGAAGATAACGTAGCAAAAGGAACCATGTAAGCACAGTGGAACACAAACTTTATTTTCAACACACCATTGCATAACCCTATTTTTACTCCTTTAAGGCCATGAGTGCTATTTCAGTGGCATATGGACAACAAAAACGCTAGCATATACAAGTATCAAGAATTTATCAGACTTGATAATCAGACTGTAGACAAAAATTGGAATTTCCTACTTTCTGAGATCTTTGTGACAGCCTAATTTTGCATCTGACCTACAATAGATACCTTAACACCATGCAAAAAAAGTTGGCACTAATAGAAATTGCTGCTGAGATTAAAAACCAATATTTGCAGAAGGGCTGTACCAGCAGGTGACATTTCAAGAAGTGAGTAATCTGATTTGTCTTCATCTCACTTGGGAAAAGGAAACCTGAAACTCCTCCCTGGGATTTCTGCATAAAAACCACCCTTCCTCTTGTGCCACTGACAAGCAATGAGAAGGCAAGGAAAAATGTAGCAATCTAGGCCTAGTCATCAGACTTAGGGTTGCTCTGGCAAAGTGCAACAGGTATGTCAGAATCTCAGCAATGCATCCCAACCAAGAGACAAGCACCACCAATAATAACAGTTGCACAGAGAAATAGAGGCTCAGTAGCAAACCCTAGTTTCTTGATCATCAGCTCCAGGAATGCACAATACTGTTTTCAGCCTTGTGGAAAATACCAGTGCAGGCTACACAAGTTAAGGATTGGTGTTCACAACTGGGACAGTTCAAAGAGAAAACAGGCTTTCTGATACCACCAATCACAAGCATAACATTTACTTCTACTCTACTACAGCCATTGCTTACCGTTTACAATCATTTTTAAACAAGTCGAACATGGTTTTCTGGAAAAATAAAGATCACAGTTTTTAAGTCTTGATCCGTGTTTAATGAGCGCAATCTGGCCAGCATGCAAGTCTGTACTGGAACAGTGAAGACCAATAATCTTCATGTTTTTCACCACCACTAGACCACTCTTCTTTACCTACAGAAAAATGCATTATTATTATTATTATTATTTTACTTTTTTTCAACATCAAGTCCACAGAGATGTTACCACTCTTCCTTGGGTAACAGTAATCAGCCAGGATCAAAGCATATAGCTCTTCAGTACAAACTGTGATATGAATCATTAAGCAATCTCTGTTACATTTCCCCTACACAGGTTTGGGGGGGGGGGGTTTTGGTGGTGGTTTCTACATGTGCCTGTTAATACCAGTGCTGTGTCCCTGTCAAACCTCACATAGGGACTTGTCGCAAATTCCTGATTTTTCTGGTCATTGCTTTGCCCGTAACAAAACCCAGAAACGGCATCTTCTGTCAGCTATAGCTGAAAACCCCTCTGAATCATCCAGATCTGGAAACGCTCATGAATTTAGTTTGTCTTAAACTTGACCATCCTGGGAGTCAATAGCTTCTCTAGTTTTATTAGTGTCGCTTCATTTACAGAAATGAATTATGGTTCTAAAGAATCTTCCATGGAAAATGTCTGCATACCACAGACAAGAGCTCTTATATATCTGGATTCCCATGTATTGCAAAGAAACTGGATACAGGTTAGTTTGATGAAGCTGGCAAACCAGATCCCATTATGCAATCCAGCTGCTACCAGAACACTATTGCCTTAGATCTGCAAATTATTCAATTTGTTTGTGGTTACAGAAATGAGGCTGTACTAAAGCCCTACATATAACTCAAGTGCTATTCCTGACTGAATTACTAAATTTGAAACTGCATTTGAAGTCTGTATGGCGCTGCTCATCCACCTCTCTTTCAGATCCATTCTGGGACATGCCAAGCTCTGAAAATTAGGCCTAATTTTCATTCAAATTATTTTCCTGTCTTTTCTTGTCCTGGTTGACACATGTGCTATGGATCTTAGCACATGGTTATGCTCTGCACAAAGAAGTGATCTGATCATTTTAAAGAGCACAATAAGAACTCAGCACAAAAGGAAACACCCTGTTCCAGGACACTCTGAAAATGCCTCTCTACTTTGAAGAGTAATTGGAAGCTATTTAGAAGACCCATTCTCAAGGATGGCTTCTTTTCACTGTCACCAAGGTAGCTATCTACATGTTCTTGAACAGCAAACATTTCGAGTAGTTCTGTGCACCGCCACCGTATAAGAGAACTCTTCTACAATCATGAACATCAACATTTTAAAGAGTATCTCTACACCATCGACCACACTGATTTTAACGTTATAATTAGTATATACTAAGAAGTACACAGTATACACCATGCCTCATTTGTTATGCTCTTCAAAATACCCACCAGCACTTTTTACTGTTTGCTTCACCTGTCGAGGCATACCTTGCCTTTCAAAGTTCTTCAGAAATAGCATGCTATTTAACCATTTCGCTATTTCTCTCTCACCAGTGATTTTTTTTTCTACTTCTAATAAATATCTGAAAATCACTTATCAGCCTTTTTTTTTTCTTCCCTCTGGACTATCTCTCATGTAAAGAGCTGTTAGGTTAAATACACTGCAGGAGCTATTAGCATGTGTTCAGAAAGACCAATTCATGGTAAACATAGACATTTTACCTGTGATTTTTTCTGTTGCTCAGCCGAGGGAAAGAGCTCCATCCAGAGACTGAACAAAGTAAAAAGATTGACCTTAGAAAGTCTTGGCATTTGACCTGTCATTTGATGAAAAAAAGAGAAATATTTATTAAAGAATATTTGTAAAGAAACCCCACATTGCTGAACAATAGTTTCCAGGTCTCCTACACAACAGCTGCCACAGAAGCTGCTTCATCAACCACTTGTGCTATTACAGCAGTCAAATCCACGCTGTCCTTTTCAGGGCAGTAGCTGTCAACTCAGAATGCTCCATGTGGATGCAGAGATCAGATTTGTGCACCAAGAGAAAGTGGTGAAACTTTCACTGAAATTTAGTGAGAATAAGAGCAGAAATCACGTATCAGATTCCACAAAACTTAATGTGCTCAAACGATTCACAGATGCTTACAGAAATTTGAGACATAGCTTGTGATTCAGCTTCAGGCTCACCACAGAAGAGAGTGAAAATATTGAGGCACGCATCATGATCTTACAGTGACACCAACAGCAAGGATGGATGAGCCACTATCAATCAGTTTTCATCAGTTCTGGAGAAACTTGCTTCTGGATTTTTAAAGTTTGCTTAAATTTTGGTTAGACTTTTACAAAAATTTGAACCTACTGCTCAGGCTGTCACTTCTGACTAAATAACCAAAGAGGCAGCAAGGAATCCCTTCTCGGACCACCACCTTGTGCTGTGTTGTGCTTCTACTCAAAATCTGGGTGTTGTCCCATGAGGGCCAGTGCTCAGCATTACTGAGTGTCCCATAAGTGAAAAAGGAGGAAGTACAGCATTGCTCACTAATCCATGTACCACTCCTGATGTAAAACTCTCCTGTGTCACACTTGGCAAGAAGTTAATTGAGTCTTTGAAAAAGCTCCATTCCAGGTTCAGAGATTCTTACAGAGAGCTGTAACGAACACATATTCCTCTGCAGGTCTCACATGTCCTGTTGGCAGTAGTATTATTTATGTTTTTATCCCTTGCAGCAAACGTTAATGTTTTTGCAAAGGAGAAAAAAGCAGAGGCAAGAATAGAATAGAGAAAAACATTTAAGTAGTTCCAGCAGTTTGGAAGAGATATAATCAGATACAAGATTGCTCTGGCGGGGAAGAGGGTTAGTTTAATGACATGTCTGTGAACCCAAACCATTAGGACAGCAGATAAACATATCCAATCCATGACTGAAATACCATTTTCAGTCAGTATTTTAGCAGCTTTTTTTCCCACAGAAGTGTAATTTTGGAAAGCAACTACAGACCTCACAGCAGCACCATCTGATCCCACACTGTCCACTGCTCCTTAGGCTGCCCAGCTGTGCAGTGCCAAGAACTGCAAGGGGCACCTAGTTCACATGATCAGATACATGTACATGGCAAGCAGCACACATGAAGATTTGTTATCACTCCTACTAAAAGCAAACTGTAAGTCTACAAGCCACGTCTAAACAAGTAGAATTTGTTTTCTTAATGGGCATTTGAATTTATTCTCATTACAGCCTCTGTTCACTCCTGTTGTAGACATCTTACAGAATTTAAAGTAACTACAGAAGACTGGGGAAGAAAAGGAATCAGGTTTTGCTGCTGAGAGCAAAACTGTGTATGAAAAGAGTAGTCTTTTCAGGTGCATCAAATCCTCACAGCTTCCCTACTTTACAGAGCTTCCCTGTATGATTTTATCCCTCAGGCTAGGGATCTTGCTCCAGTGAGGCACGGCATGCTCCAAGAAAAGCATGCTGTTAAGGCCAGTGTCAAAAACCCTGCTGCTCCTGCACCTGCAAGCAAAACAGAGCAGTGCACAGCCCATCCGAGCATGGCTCAGATACAGGATTCTGTCACGGATGCAACACAGGAGTCCCTAGTTTGAAGTCTGAAAGGCTTAGAAGTCATCTCACAAGTACAAAGCTAACACTGTGCTCTGACACCATCAAGGAGGAGGACATCAGTGACATCACTCTCCTGTCTGGGAAAATGAAACCAGAAACCATTTTCAGAGTTCATCTTTTTTGCTTGCTTGGAAGGAGGATCTTCACAAAACCCATTTACCCTTCAAGAAGACCTGACAGCTGTGTCATGGTGCTCAGGGAGCTATATATACAGCCCATGGGGGATCTGTACGTACACACCCCTCCCCTGAGACTGCAGTGATGGGATATATGAAATCTATCAAAATCTGCTTCATCTGGGCGTCCCCAGCCTTGTGAAAAAGTTGCTCTCTACTGAATTTATATATGGGTCCTGCTATAGGGGGTTGTAGGAACACCCCTCAGAGAGCAAGCATTTTAATGCATATTAAATATCCATGGTATAGAACTGGAAAAAGAAATCATTTTAATGGGTTGGAGGGAAATGCAAATTCCAAGCATATGTTATCAAGAGGCCTTATGAATAAGGGCGCAGGCAAGCAGGGTGCGCGGGGGGATATACTTTATTGCACTGTCTGTAAGGGCAGAGCACTGCGAAACGGCAGTTGAGCGGAGGGAAGGCAGGAGCTCTCTAACAGCCCCGGGGAGGGCAGAGCCTTGCAAGCGCCCTCAGGAGAGGGCAAACCGGACAGTTCCGGGCATTTCGTTAAACACCTCGAAGCCCCCCGGTGGGCGAGAAGTGACCGGCAAAAGCCCGGTCAACGCACAGACCCGCCTCCCCGCCCCGCCAGCCGTTAGCGCCCGCTCCCCACAGCGGGGGGGCGGCTCCCCCACGGCC